AATGAGCTGCTCTGCAACGACTCCCAAAATCTGCCTCCATTGAAACTCACCGTTTCACTTAAGCCCATACCAGCATTGGCAGCCCAATTATCCAATCAGCAGTAGTCTTCCAATTGCAGCACCATTGTAGCAGGCCAGCATTGCCTTCAATTTCACCTGCAGCAGCTTGATGTTAAAATAGTAGCCCAAAACAGCGGCCCAAATTCAATCCAGCACCTCATTTCAATTCAACACCTCCCAATCAACTTCTATTATGGCCCAAATGTTGGCCCAATCTGTAAAAAAAATCAAACAGCAATTAAGAAAAAGAAGAGAAATTATGCAATTAAAACAAAACATTTTTATTGAAAGAATTTTATAAAAATACTAATTTCCTAATTATTAACAAAATCTAAAAATTACACTTAAAAACCTCTTTTTAACTAAAATTTTATAAAACTAAAGAATTAAGAGAAAAACATAAAACTATTCTAATTCTAAGAAATTAAAAACTAAAGAAATCTAAGAAATGATTTTTAACAGAGAAAAATATGTAAATCTAGAGTGTTATCACATAAATAGTTTTACTTACCTTGGTCAATAATCAATAATCCAAATAGGTTGCTTGCATCTCCAATCATCTAACAAAATAATGAAATAGTGGCACAAAAGATTTTAAATTACTTCACTAAATGAAAATCAAGGTCAATTGAATGTGGAGAGTATATAAAGGGGATTTGTTGTTTCTGAACCTACACGTCCATCTCCTGTGCTTGTTTAAGCTGCTTGTTTAAGCACAAATGCAACAACATATCCAATCAGTTATAAGCTAAGGTAAAATAGAGGTGAATATGCTAAACAACTCCCCTATTCACATGCTATTTCTAGCTGTTGCGTTTCTTGAACATTGTTGTAGGTTCCTTTTCTTTCCTTAGCTCATTCATATTAACCAATACAACTCTACAAAAACTATCATACCAGACTTATGGTGCAAATCAACTACCAAACTAGGAACAATATGGAACGTGTATTAATAAAGTGGTTGGTTAGCTTTTCAATTCAAACATGGCTCTTCAAATCATGAAATCAGTTATAATCCAATACTCTTTTATCACTTTAGTTTCAATCAAAACAATAGATGCACAATCTATTTATTCCAAACATATTATACCTTTCACAACTACACCACACACAAAAGTTATATCAATCTAATTTGAAATGACTCACTTGGTAGTATCAAAGAACATACAAAAACAAAAACAAATGTTGTAATTTATAGCAATTTACTCCACCAAAAACATACACATCAATCTTCTCATTGATCTAACCATAAAGTGCATATTGTGGACCTAGATATATGTAAGTTCCAACCACTCTGGTTGTGAGATGAGACTGACCCTCTCGGCTTTGTTTGCCAAGACCAAAATCACCAATTCTTGCCCTCATATCCGCATGAAGTAGAATATTAGTGGCTTTGATATCTATGGAAAATTACAGGTTTAACTCCATAGTGCAAATAGGCCAACCCCTTTGCCACATCCAACATTATGCTTTTCCTCTCAGGCCATGTCAATGATCCCTTCGCATTTGGAGAGTTTGATGACACAAACAGATGGTCCTTCAGGTTCCCATTTGGCATGTAATCATACATAAGATACCTTTGGCTTCCCCTTTCATCATAATTATCACTCTCCTCAGCCACACAACAACTTCTCAAAGGCACCAGATTGTGATGCTTCAGGTTGGTAATAATCTCCACCTCATTACAGAACTCCACATCTCTTTGGAAATTAGATTCCAAAAACCTTTTAACCGCCACCACAGTCCCATCAAGCAAGGCTCCCTTGTAAACCAACCCAAACCCACCACGACCAATCAAGTTCTTAGATGAAAAAATTATCAGTGGCTATCTCAAGCAAGGCTCCCTTGTAAACCAACCCAAACCCACCACGACCAACCAAGTTCTTAGATGAAAAAATTATCAGTGGCTATCTCAAGCTCCCTAAATTTTAACCAAATCGACCCCATATTAGGCCTCAATATACGCCTACACCCTTCTTCCTCAAGGTCAAAATCAAACTGAAAAGTCTCAAGCTTTTTCCTCTTGTGCTTCCTGTCGCACCACACATAAAGCCCCAATAGAGAAGACATCACTAGCAAAGCCACCCTAGCTCCCGTCAACCCAAAAACAAGAGCCTGGTGACTCTTTCACCCATAACCCCCGGTCAATAGACCGAAATGCTAAAATATCACATACAAGCTATCTACACATAGCGACAAAAACTACAGAAGCTACGACAGAAAGAAAACTCAAAACCCCATACCTTAAAGCCACACACGACAGACGCGAGAAAAATCGAAACGCCAACCGAAAACCTCCACAACCCTCAACTTCACAACCACAAAAGCCTCCACAACCAACGATTGAACCGCCTCAAACATAGAAATGGGAAGCAACTGCACTAATGAAGAACGATGGAGAATGCTTTTTGAAACAAAACCTAAATGGGATTTTGGACTGACAACCGAAACCCAATTTACATTTTTCCACTTTTACCCTTAATCAGTATGCAATTTTTTTTAAAATGCTGACCTGGACTGTGTCAAATGAGTGTAAGTGACACGTAGGCATGTCAACCTATTACTACTCTTTGTAAAAACGATTCATGTTAGTCCTTTTTGCTTGCGACGTTAAAAACTAGCGACAGAGTTGCCCCCTGGCGAAAACTGAATGACTTGTACATTTATTCACTACGTGGCACCCTAAGTTGAAATGACTTTGCAATGTGTGTGAAAATTTTAAAATTAAAGTAATTGTTTAAAAGTAAAAGGTTAGGGTTTGTGCAAGTTCGTCCCTAAAGTTAGGAAAGTTTTCTTTCGAAAATTAAAAACAAAGGGTCAGGGTTATGAATGACTTCTTCACAAAGTTGTTCTTATTGTTCGAAGACATGGGACAAAGGATTTTCGCATTCCTCACAAGGTGGTGGTTCGAGGGGAGGTGGGATGACCCTTATTTGCAGGTGCTTCTCACAATGAATGACAAGGCTGTCTCGAGGTGTAAAAAATGAATATGGTGGAGTGATGTTGTGATTTGAGTTTTTACAGATTAGGAGTTTTCTGATTTGAGATTTTAGGGTTTTTTGTGTAGGTTGTATGATTGAGGTTGAAGAAAGAGGAAATTGAGGTTGAACAAAGGAGGTTTCTTTGTTTGTGAATTCACTCATCTACAGGAATAACATTTCATTTGTGAATTCAATAGAAAGCACGAAAATTGCATCAATTTCAAAATAGAATCAGAATTGAAACAAAACAAAATCAGTACAACATAATTAAAATTCATTAAAATGAAACTATAAATTACAAGGAAAAGTCACTAAGAAAATATCAATCAAGACTACCACGGATTGTCACCACCATGAGCCTCAATCAAAAGCCAAAGAATCCGGAATCTACACTACGAAAAGCACGTAAAACCCTAAAACCTAGCGAACTCAGATTGTCTCTCATCTTTCTCATGGAGTTTATCACCCTCCACATTACAACCTCTAAAAGCTATTTACATACCCTTTTATAGAGTCCAAACCAGAGAAAAGCAAAAAGGAAAAAAAAATATATAACCTATGTCGCTTTAGGCTTTGCTTCCCATCAGACAGTCTCTGTTCACTTTGCTCATGATCCACACATCTTAGCCCTTCGATCATCTTCAACCTCTTCACTGATTCAATCTCCTCCACACATGCATTGGGTAAGTGACTCGAGCTCACTTCATCTTCTCCTTTCTTCTTGCGTAAAGCCCTAGCTCGAGGGGAACTCTATTTTTTTCTCCAAATGAGGCACATATTTGAGCAACCCTTGCAAAACATCTTTTGCCAAGCTTTTACAAAATGCACAACTTCACCAATCCATAGGCCCATCAATGCAACCCAATTCTAGCAGTTCAAGATGTGCAAAACAGCAGGCCCAATTCCAACGCAGAAGTGCAGAACAACATACCCATCATTTTAAAGGTCCAGCCTAGTGCACCTGCCCAATATGGTGTAAATTTGAATGGGCCCAATCATAGCAGCAAACCCAATTCCAAATAACCAGCTCAATTTGACAAAAAAAACACATTTTAGTCAATTGATTAAGACTCAGGTATGCAGAAAAAAATAGTCCATAATTAAAGAAAGGGAACACAATTTATCAATTAAAAAGAAAGATTTTTTATTATAAGATTGTCTTAAAAAAATTAATTTCCTAATTATTTACAAATATAAAAAATACTCCTAAAAGTATAATTTTAACTACAATTTTATAAAACTAAAACTAAAGAATTAAAGAAAAAAACCTAAAACTATGCTAATTGTAGACAATTAAAGACTAAAAGACAATAAGAAAGATTTTTAAACACAAATAAAAGTGCAAAAATAGGGAGTTATCAACCATGCATTCCTTTACCGCGATTTGCATGAAAATATTCAAAGGAGTTTTCTGAATTAATGTTTTGTCTTTTTATGTCATCTTTATAAATTATTATTAATTTAGTATCACTCGAGTGTAAAAATATATATTTTCACTTTTATTGATTATATTAGAAAAAAAATTATATTTTTTTTTGTCATGAATAGAAAATTGTGTATAATAAATGAGACAAATATTTTTAACTTAAAAGAATATATATAAAACCAATATAATTTGGTATTTCAAAACCAATGTTTATTATTCTTTCTTTAATATGTAAATATTGAGCAACATATTTTAATTTCTTTCCATTCTTACATATTCTTGAACTGGGAATGTAACTTTCCCACGTCAAAACATCTCACTATAAAAGTCAGCATTGTTAGTCTATGATGTTGGTGCTAGTTTTGAATGAAACCCTAGAATATATGTTTCAAAGAAACATTATCATAATTCTGGATTTTTCTACGTAATTAGTATTCATTAAAAGGGCTATGTTGAAAATATGGGGACAAAGGGTGCAATAAAGAAAAAGGAAATGGACATAGATGTCATTTGGGTGAGTATAAATCAATCTAAAAAGGGGCATTTTGTGAGTATTGGCGTGTGAGAGAGAAGGGTTTCAGAAAGAGAGAGAGAGGGTTTGGGATTGGGAAGCCGAGGGATTGACGCTGCGTGTCTTCCTCTTCCATTTCGATCTGTCCCTCATTCCTGATCATCCAACCACCTCAGCATCACACCAACACCATGTCTCTCTCTTTTCTCTATCTATTTCTCTCTTTATTTTTTTACTCACATTTCTAGGGTTTCTTTCTGATCCCTCTTTCTCTTTCAGATCTGAACGTGTATCGTCTCACCCATGGCTTCCAAGCGCATCCTCAAGGAGCTCAAGGACTTGCAGAAAGACCCACCAACTTCTTGCAGCGCTGGTATCTCTTTTTCTTCTTCATTTCACACCCCACCACGATATTTTTGTCTCCTCTAACTGTGCTGTAAAAAAATCGTTTTTTTTCTGGGTTTGTGTTTGTTCAGGGGTTAAATGAAAAAAAAAATCTTGTAAAACTAAAAAATTGTTGTTTCTGCTGCATTTTGAAAGCCTTGAACGCGTGGACTGTCACTGACCATTGTAGAGTAAAGTAAAATTAGGTAAATAAAGAATAGTATAAATTATGTCTATGTTGCAGGAAAAAACATGCATCGGTTTTAAATTAAGGCTGTGGTAGTGTTCCTTCTCATTGCAGGAAATCGGGCACTAATTGATGTTGCAACAAAAATTGCAGTTGAAGACTGTTTTCTAAAACTATGTTATGTTTTTGAGTTTGAAGTTTTTTTGTAGTATTTGCAAATGCAAGTGTTTATTTTTCAGGTCCAGTAGCTGAGGACATGTTCCATTGGCAAGCAACAATTATGGGTCCTGCTGATAGTCCTTATGCTGGAGGTGTATTCCTAGTCACTATCCATTTTCCTCCGGATTATCCTTTCAAGCCCCCTAAGGTAATGTGTGAAGTCTGCTTGTGGATTTAGGGGCTTTGTTTTTTAAGTGTGTTCTAAATTTCTGACATTTTGGCTTAGCCAGGTTGCATTTAGGACCAAGGTCTTTCACCCGAACATCAATAGTAATGGTAGCATTTGTCTTGATATCCTGAAAGAGCAGTGGAGTCCCGCACTCACTATCTCCAAGGTTCAGTATTTTTCCCTTTAGTTTAAAAAATACGTGGGTATATGGATATTTTAATTGCATGGCTCAAATCGAGTTTTGAGGGAAAGTTACCAAAATGAAACTACTGAATAATATTTGCAGTTTTGTACAGAGTCACTACAATTTACTTCTTTGTTTTCATTACTTTAGTAAAAAAAGTCCCCTTTTCTGCGTGGGGCTCTGACTTTTTTTTTTTTGTATTTATTGAAATTGAAATTGTTAATTAAACTACTCTCAAGTTAAATTGGATCAACATTGTTACAGTTTTTTATGTTGTCATCTAATTACTGATTGTCATGTATGGCTATGGTGTGCTTGGTAACTTTTATATGACTTTTAAACTATTCGTGTATGACTTCTCATTAAAAGATAGTGTAAAATCTTTACTCAGACAGGGCATGATAATCAAACACTGTTGTTGACTAGATCATAGTTATCTGTACTGTACAACTTGTGGTACGATTCATATGATACAATTCTCAGTGCTGCCTACTGAGTCATTTAGCATGTCTCGTATTTGTGCATTCTGAATTACAAGAATCGTGATCTGCTACAGAAACACATTTCTGGTGAAACTGGTTTTTCTCCAAAACTGGGTTGAGTTGTGTGTAACCAATAGCTTTAACCTCATTGAGATCCAGTGTGGCCCATTTGCTGTTTTTCATGTTTCTACGTCCTCGCTCACTCTTTTTTCCCTTTTTCTTGTTCTACAGTTTCTTTTGCATTTACAATTTCTTTTCTTTCCTCTTACACTTTTTTGGGCCCTTGCTGTTTCCTGACTGTGTCTGCTGCTGATCCTATCTCCCAAAAATCTAAGTGGTTGGTTACTATTGCAAATGTTATTATCTTTGTTTTGAAGCTTATATGCCTCTCTATTAGCTATTATACTTCAAAATGCTCATACACACTTCATCTTTGTTTGCTTTTAGGCTTATATATCACTATTAATTACTGTACTTTCAAATGCTTATATATATGGATATATTTTTCATATGTTTCTCTATGTTAATGTTAAAAGGTTCCTTGAATTACTTTTTTTAGTTATTAGTGTATTTATGTCTTTTATTTTGTATGTAATATACTTTATTTTACCATTATATGGATCCGAATTCAAGTACTGTGAACTTTATGTAACTAATTGTTTCACATTTTCATATAATGTATACTCGTGTTAATGTTTCACCTCTCTTCATGTATATAACTGGTAACCTCTTTACCATACCTCTCTTTCTACACCCTTTCTCTGTGAACACTGGTGTCCACTGTGTATTTTTTGATATGTTTCACTCTATTTTTATTCAATCCTCATTCCTTGAATTGTCCATTTTAAATTAGCTTGACTTCAAGTCTGTGATGAGCTTTACTCTCTGCGGGTTTACTAGTCTTAATCCACCACCACAGCCACTGTTCATAGGATGTCATAGAGTCACTGCCATGGGTAGTTTCTGGCAAAAAAAGAAAGACTAGAGGGCCAAGGACTGATTAGTGGTTTATAGGTTGATAAAGAGGGGCTTTTGAACTATTCATAGTTTTCTAACAAGCATTGAAGGAGAGGTTTCTCTTAATTTACTCGTTGAAAAATTCTTCTCTGTTGTTTTCTCCACTGTTTTAGTTGTATTCTAATTCATAATCATCATAATCAGCAGTTGAGAATCTCCCATTCAACTAGTTGTAATTTTAATTTTGTACAGTCCATGGGTAGATTGATTTTTAGTTGTGGCTGGTTATTTTGCATCCTGACAACATGATTAGGGAGTGGTTCTGTTTTTAATTTTATCATCTTGAATTCTGTCTGATGAAATATGGCCACTGTAGCGTGGTGAGTTTATAGTCTTGTTCTATCAACGTTGTTCTGTCTTTAAAGTTCTATTTTGAGTGGGCCCAATGGAGGGTCCCCATCGAGACCCCGAAATAGCTCCTTGGTATTGCCTGGGGAAGGGGGGAGGAGAGCATTGGCAGGGATCAAAATCCTGCCAATCCAAATCCAAATTTTAACCCTATCAACAAGGGACGCTTTTTGTGTAATTGATTAGTAGGAATCTTATATAATCATTTGTTGTATGTGAATCTCATTACTGATGTTGAGAGGAATCTAAGGAATGATGGGTTTTGTAATTATTATGTTTTGCTTGTCACACCTCAGGTACTGCTTTCTATATGCTCATTGCTGACTGATCCAAATCCTGATGACCCACTTGTTCCGGAAATTGCTCATATGTACAAAACTGACCGGGCCAAGTATGAGGCCACTGCTCGCAGCTGGACCCAGAAGTATGCCATGGGCTGATTTGTGTTTAAATATTGTATATTGAAGAATGACTGGCATCTATGAATACTTTTGTGGGTTTGCTTTTCTCTTCCTGTTTTCCGGGGTGAGATTGGGTCTCTGTTATGAGGGATAGGGAAGGGCGGTGTCTTAATTTGATAAAAAAAAATAACTATGTTCAACCACTGTGATGTTTTATCATGATGCAAACGCACGAACAGGATGTTATTTGTGTCGTGGTTGTGTTGTAACTTTCTCTATCGAGTAATGTAGAAATAGTGATATGTGGCACAAGTTTCCTTTATGTTCTGCACAGCGTTTTCAAGTAAAGATGTTTTTGAAAGTCATCGATTTTTTTTCTTCAAAATAAGATTAATTAGATGGCACTATCTGCAAATATTAGACAGTCTCCAATAGGCACTACTTGGAAGGACTGTAGAAAGCTTAGGTTGTGGTGGTACTGTGTAAATGTAGCCTAAGATTAAGCTAGAAAACGTTGAACAGTGTTCAGAATACGTTTTATAAAGAAGCATTAGCTTAAGACTTAGAAAATCCTTTAAAAATGGTTGTACTTCCTGTCAAGAAAAGAAAAGTGCTTCTTTAATGTAATAATTTATTAAACCAGGAGTTGTGTACTTGAGGAGGGTAGGACCGATGAATTCAAGTAAAGATGTTTTTTACTTTTATATCTTACTCTCAGTGCTTGATATATATTTTGCACACTTCTCAAATGAAATGATGAATGAGTGTCTAATTTATAATAGTTTAAACATATTACATGGCCATCACCACTATTATTAAAAGTAATAGTAAGAAAAAGAGCATTGGATTTATTCCCCATGTGAGCGATGATTGTATTTTGAGATTTGGTTTGCGTGGTTATTAAGGTGTGTTTGGTTTGACAGAAAATTGGTGCTTTTGTTATTTAGCTCTGCACAACACAACTGTCTGTTTTGTACCTCAATTATCACAGTCCACACAGCAAAAAATAGTAGTTTGTGATTCTTTTGTGGGACTCACTCCAGCTTGCCAAAATTTAATGTATCCTAAATTTCTTTCTCTTCACTCTAAAATCTTAATCATACAAATTATTGCAAAAGTGATTTTTCTTTTTTCATAAATTGTTTTCTCTTTCATACATATAATTAGTATCCCGAAACTACCTTTCTTTTTAAAAATTTATTTAATCAAACAGACAAGAAAGTGTATAGTGAGCTTAAATTTGTATATATGAATGCCTACTTTTATATTATTCAAGATGATTATTACTAATATGTTAAATCTAGTTTAACCACTTTCAGGATTTTGTTGTGTTATGATTTTATAAGTGGAACAGCTTTATGCAATAACATTAGTATATTTTGTTATCATCTTATTTCTTTATTAGCTTAATTTTCATGCAATATAAAAAATGCAAAGCTAGAAAAAAACTATACATTTTAAAAAATAATGAGAATGATGATGCTTTGTTATTGGACCGGATGGTCACTCTTTGCAATGATTCATGAACGAGTCATCTTTGGATTGGATGATCAAGAAAGTAAATCAAATTATGTAAGGACAATTAACCTTAATGTTAACTAATTCAACAGTAAATTATGATTATCCACTATTGGATTGTAACTAGATTGGTGTTAATAAAAAAGTCACTCTAAAATTTCTAAAATTTATAAATATAGGTTTGAGGTAAAGAGGTAAATTATTTGCATTTATTGCATTTTTAATAGCTGAGCTATTGAATGTCGAACTAGTTTTGGCATTAGAGTGTCTTCTGTAGATACCTTTCGAATGGTTTGGACGAGCGACTTGGATAATTAGTTCAATCTTTTGGTGAGCGTCACCGTGGGGCTGAGTATTTAATAATTAACAACCTTTTGGTGAGCGTCACCGTGGGGCTGAATATTTAATAATTAACAACCTTTTGGTGAGCACAAGAGACATGACAAACAACATTATGCTAGAAGAATCAAATAACCAACCAAGCCAATTGGAGATAATAAGGAGCATACAACGACAAATGCAAGAGAGGCAACAAAGATGTGAAAAGGAACTCACGACTCTCAAGGCTAAGAATATAACATATGCCAAGAGCAAAGCGCTTGATAGTCGATGCCTTATGCCTCAACCTAACTACATTAACCTGTTTTAACCAGGCTCAACCTGTGTAGGACAGTCACAAGGGCAATACAAGTGCCAATAGGAGGAACCCGTATGTGAACATAGTCGACACAGTCGGTTTGTTGCCTTTCACATCAACCATCATGGAGGCTAACATGCCCCTGATTCCTCTAACCTTTAACAAATATGATGGATCAACTGATCCGGACGAGCACCTGAGGATGTTTGTGAATCAAATGGCCTTCTATATTGCAAGTGACTCGATGTGGTGTAGAGCTTTCTCCCTTTCCCTCAAAGGAGAAGCTTTGACGTGGTTCAACTCATTGGCACCCAACTCTATAGATAACATTACGATCATCCACTCGATTTTCGATACCTAGTTTGCCACGACGTGGTTCATGAATTCCACAACCCTTTTTCTTGAAGCATTCTTGAAGAGCAATTTACTGGACTGCATTGACTGAAGGTGCATCGTGTTTAATTAGGAGAGAAGATTTGCAATCTTTGATTTGCTGTTTCCCTGGACGTGAGCGTCAGGAAGAAGAGTGTGGGACTCTTGACTTTGAGAGGGGATTCTCAAAGGGTTGTTGCAATAGGGACGGAGGTTCTGTGCTGGCAGGTTTTGTTGTTCTATATTTGATTGAGAGTTTGTGAGGTGTTTACATTGAGAGTGACTCTGTAAAACCTTGGTTGTAATACTGATCATTATAGTGAATTACTCTCCAATCTAAGGTTGATTGGGAGGGTGACTGGATGTAGGCATTGAGGCCGAACCAGTATAAAAACTGTGTTTGATTTTCTCTCCTTAATCTCTTTACATTTTTCATACCAATTGCATTTACACATATTGTTTCGTTGCACACATTTGCATACTGCACAAGAAAGATTTCAAGAACACTATTATTTGCGAAAAAGATTTGAAAAGTGCAAGTTTTTATAAAACACCACTTCACCCCCCCTCTTGGTGTTGAGGAACAAAGTCAATATTTTCTAACACTTTAACTTAATAAAATATAAATAAGTTTAAATTTAAATTTTTTACAGGTAATTGATCTTGTAGGTATGGGTAGTTTTAAAAAGGACCACCCAACCCAACTCGACTCGACCTACCATAGGTTAACTACTTAGTGAGCCATCCTAGCCCAAATCACTTATTAGCAAGCCAAGAAATTTGAACCGACCTCGGTCCACCACAGATTAGTAGGTTAAACGGGTTGACTCACTAACTTACTTAATTGCAAGTTTTTTTTCAATTAAAAAAAATCTAATTCAAATCTAAATAAATGGGGAGTGTCTTAAATTATATTTTTTTATCAATCAAACATAAGATTTCATTCACACAAAGATATCACAAAATCTTTTCAACAAAATTTTTAGTAGCTTCAAAGCGATTCAAATTTAATTTTGCATAAAAAGTAAGTTCTTAAGTATAGATTTGTGAATTTTTCATGTTGTCTAATTATTTCATACAAAAATAATTTCATGCGAGTCTTCGCTTGAATATTTTGTAAAATGATTAAACCAACAAAAAGTTACTTATTAGAAAAATTAGGTGGGTTGGTGAGCCAACTCACCATTATTTCAATCCGAGTGATCCGAGTTCTTAGTGAGCTGAACTCAAAATTGGTTCGTATCGAAATTTCAAAATTTTCTTCAACCTAACCCGACCCAAACTTGTGGTGGACTGGGTTGGCTCACGGGTTCCAACCCGTTTTGACAACACTAAGTAATATGATACCCACAACGGACTAGTCTATAAACACTATTAAAAAATTATACCCGTATACCAACTATTAGTCGCAAAGTTTATCTGCAGATACTCGCGGGCACAAGTATTTTTGTCATTAATATCCTAGCCAGTTTGAATTATTTTGCATATAAAGAACAAATGGTACTTTCCTCATTCTCGATGCACAAGTCACAAACAATACTTCCTAGTTGAAAACCTCTATATGCTAGCTTTTTCTTAGTTGGCAACTTTTCCAACAACGCCCTCCATCCTATAATTTGTGCTTTTGAGATATCTTTCACACTCCAAAAGGATTTAAATAAAGTAGTATCTTCCCCACTTAGATTACTTATTAATATTATATGCAAATCTTACCGTAAATGATCTTTCCTTTTCCTCCGTCTACATTAAACAATTCACACAATCTCTTTTTGAATTGTTGCCCAGTTATGAGTTGCAATAAGTCTTGTTCTTGAATTCTTCCCAAGCCAACCAACCAGGATTAAAACTCGCAAAACAACCATATTCATGATAGGTTTGAGTCGGGTTGGGTTAAAAAAATTGTAAATTTTGATATGGGCTAAAAATGAAGATGTCTCACCGGTCAACCCATAATAGTATCAATATCTAATGAAAAATGAGGAGATATCCAACATCAGGCCAATATAACAGTATCAGTATCTAATGAAAATTCTAAACTAAATATAGTTTGGTAACATAAGTTTTTTGCAAATATTACCAAAATAACCCGAAACTTACACGAAGGCCAAGATGGCCTGAGTAAAGTCAGTTAAACTAAAAAGAATGTCAAACAAAAGCTCATGATAGTTAAACCAATATGATTTCAGATTATGGCACACCATAACTTCACTATGTATTGCATATTTGTGGGTTGAATACCTCCTTTATTACTATTTATAATCCAATTTGACCAACAACAGGAAAAGAAACCTCCCAGTCCCATAGAAGGGTTTTGCGACAATAAATTGAAAAAGAAATCCCTCCTTACTAAGTTAGACAAGGTTGTTCACTATCAAGTAAAATGATTTCTCTTTGACCATGCCTAGAACCTGTCTAGATAAACATTTTCATAATACTTTAAAGACAAGAAAATAAGAATGAAAAATTAAAGGCGTATATGCAAAAGGTGAAAACTCATAGAATAGAAAGAGTGATTACTGAAACAACAGAGGCACGACCTTAATTGCCTCAGGCAACTCATCCATACCGCGACCCGCGAAGCGTTTGTCCAGAAGCAGCAACCTCATTGAGCCCCTCCACTTGCTACTGACAAATTTTTCTCCAAGCAACTTCCTCATACCAACACTATCTTCTTCTTCCTCCTCAAAAACCTCAACCACGACAAAACTGTTCCGCCCCACGTGCCTACTGTCTTCCACTTCCATCCCCTCCTTCCTCTTCTTCCTCTTCTTATTCCTGTTCG